TCTTCGTGACGGGTATGCACAATAGAAGTCTTCACTGTGGTTGACAGTAGTTTACAGAAGCGATTTTCTGCATGTATAAAATAAAGGCAATGTAAAATGTGGAGCAAGTCAAAAGGTAGCTTATCGTATGCGAGAGTCCCTTGGTGAAAGTCCGGACGGCGGGAACGTGTTTTCTCCGCAGTTTGGCTGCTACACGTATTCCATCACTATCCGTGGACTTGTGGAAAGGTTGACTTCCCGCTCCCTGCGCGCGCGCGAGTCTGTGTGCTGACATTGTTTGGTTCCCTATAAGTAGGTCCGTTTGTACGTGGATGTGACAGCACATGAGTTGTTGCTACGCTCACTAGACGGTACAGACAATCGATGTCCGATGATTCACCTTAATGTGACGTGGTTGTGGGCATGAAAAAAGACAAGTCTCGTGATCCAGTGAGCGACTGTGAGGTGAACAATCAAGTATGTGGGTGACTGGGTAGCTACAGACTCGGAAGTCTGGTCAAAGCAGCCAGAAGCGTTTTTTAAGAAGATGCGCAGGGTCTGTGATTTAGTTGCCTGACTTGGTTGTTAGGGATTAGCCTACCCTGAGGGCGCAGGGATGTCACTCCCGATGCTGATGCGCACGGCGGATGCAGTTGGAGCCACCATTGGCGATCGGATTGTGTGGCTTCTAGGGTCGACCTTTTCTACCACTCCCTTCCCCGGGGGAAGGCGTGCTAGTCATCTGGAGTAAACATCTTACTGCCTTTACACTTCCATCGCAGAGGATAGAATGAATTTACCTCCAAACTGCCTAATATGACTAATTGATGCCCATAGTTTGACTGTGTCCTTTAGCCTTCTTGGAATGGTTACACCCAGTGGAATTGAGTTCCAGCTAATGTAGTCCGCGGGATCATTTCGACACTCAAGCCTGACCACCGTAGCAAGGTGGTTTTGGTATATTTAGAGGTGAAAGCACCACATCTGAAGCGAGCGGAAAAACGTTGGGTGTGGAAAAAGTAGATTGTAGACAGGTTCACGATTACACAAGTGATACGCATTCGCTACTGAGTGCTGTTTACACCAAAGTCTGTAGCCAAGTGCACTCCAGCCGACAGAACATTCGTGTCATCAGGCCGTCACGCTTCGGCGCCAGGTTGTTTTCGGCCGCCTCTTCATCTTCCACATGGTTCCGCGAAGACAGTCATTGCGTTGCTGTCCCCAGTACATGCCCTGACCATGGGAGTCTATGTTATCCACTAGCTCACCATTAATCCCCCGGAAAACATGTCATCGCACCTCGGTATTATACGTCCGTAATCTCTACCAAACGCTCCGAGTGCTTCGTAGATGGTCAAACAGTACGGTGGAGAGGCGCCAATGTTGAGCACTGATGTTGTTCTTCCCATAACAATGGTCGAACAAGATGAATTATCCAATAAGGTCATCTCGGAGGGTCATGTTTTACGTCCGTATAGAAGTACTGGACAATTGGATGCGTTATTAACTTAGCCCCGTAATGAGAGGGTGATACCCCGTCAATACCAGAGGTGTCTGAGGTTCTTTTGGGTTATCCTGGAGGTGATTCCGATAGTTATTTCTCCTGTAGAAATTCCTAGACGTTGTTATGGCGTGGATGTCATCGACAATAAAGCCAAACAAACAGTTTGAGCATCGTTGAATAATCCCGGTGGTGATGGGAAATGAGTCAAATTCTCGGCGATTAGTTCGGACTCGACCTATCTTTTCACTGTTTATTGTTCGCAGGATGTTCGCGAATTTTGCTGGCATGCGACTCTGGAACAGGTAACCCCACGACAACATCCGGTCTGCTGTTTGTAGTTTCGGTTTTCCCAGCTTAAGGCTACCGAAGTACGGTGCTATGGCTTCTTTTTTGAGAATAACAATATCAAAGGAATAAATATCATGCAGTCTACGGAGTCGAATGCATCTCGGACGTCCAGAAAGATTATGATGGGGCTTTGGTGAGCAAGGCGGTCTGTCAGTAGTCACAGGGTGAAGACGGAAATCGGATTGCTCATTCCTGTTCAGAGACTCGTGTCTCAGCGACATCATGTGGAGACTGGTGATCACCAAAGTCTTGGATGCAGCCTGTATAAGACTGCTTCCCAGACAGTTTGAGTAGTCTGTTCTCAGTCCTCTCTGGGAGATCGGAATGAAGACAGATTTTGACCAGGAAATCGGAACGAATCCCGATGCCCATTTTTCGTTGTAGAGATAGGTTAGTTGTTGATGTAGCAGGTTGCATCCTGATTTAATTAACCCTACTCTTTGTTGGTCCTGACTCGGTTCATTGTTCTTCAAGCCAAATCTCGCTTCTTGTATCCCGTGTATACTGGATGGATCAATGGAGCTATACCGAGGGGCGAATTCAGTTTGCGCAGTTGAGGCATGACATGGTTGAGTTTCGAACCGAGCCTTGCAATGCTCTGCCCACCTGCTACTACGTCTGTGAATATTGGTGATACATGACCCGTCTGTCTTGATGGTAGTTTCACTCATGCGCGGAGCGCTAGGACTGACGGTCTTGACTTGGTGGAATGGTTGACGACTATCTCCGATTACACCAAACGACTTCCATCTTTGCTCTCAATTTCCACCAATTCCTCTTCGACAGCTGTTGATCAAGCTTTTGACGTCCTTTGTTGGGAGCGCGTTCTGGCTGCTTATCAGATGCCTAGTAACTGAAAGGAGTCGACTGATATCTACGCAATATATTGTCAGGTCAGTACCCGGTTGACACTAATGGCAGCGCATTGCAATAATGATTTCATGTCGACCACTGGTCCTCAGGTTCGATCCTATTTTAACACGTTCTTTTTGGAAGATCCTCGGGGTAGATGGGTCGAGGAGCTTGGTAACATCAAGACTTTGTCGACCGCCACATAAGTGCGTGGACATCACACAATGACGTGATCAGCTTCTCAGGTAACCAAGTATAGTCGATAGTCCTTTAGGGAGGCCTTCCACCGGTATTTGATTGTTGCTTGGTCCGTTGGTGTCCAGTCTTGGCCCACAGTTCGTGGACGCCACGGTGCTATGTGTCGAAAGTTGGACCGGCTAGGAACAAACCGCAGCCAGTGCGCACACAAACCGTTTCTACCTGAGTCAAGACCATGCGGACCCCTAAAGTGATACTTTTGGACTGAGTCCACAAGCTGGTGCGGGAAAGCTCCGAGCTAGAACAGCGATATGTGAACTCGGAGACCACCTAGGCGGGGGTAAAACTCGTCCTCTGGTGCATCAAAGCTGCATATAATTAGGTTGTCTTTGGTAATGGTTCACCGTACGGGACCCTGCTAACCTGATCGCACAATGTCTGCCATTAACTGCCATCCAGTAGATGAGGTCCATCCCGACTTACTGCCTGGGGACAATTTCCCCGCCAGCAGTTCCTGTGGCGTTTGAATGACGTTAGTTTATTTCATTGGCAGAGTATACCGCAATGGTTCGATCACTTCGGTGTTATGAGTCAGGCGTGTTATCGTATGTGGGAGATATAGCAGGACTTGTGGTGCTTGATCTTGTCTCCCTTAGCGTTCAATGTATCTGGTGCGAACAGTGAATTGGCGATGTTAAGGTGAGCTGGAAGGATCATCGTAAAGTGCCTCCGCGATTGGACGTTAAAGTCAGAAAACTTTTACCTTGAGGGAATATTTTAAACAACTAGGTATCAGATGACCATGACTTGTAAATGAAGCACATAACCTGGAAACTGAGTTTCGTTAACACTACTTTTTGGGAAGGGGACCAGGGCAACGGCATACCAATCGTCACTGGTAGGCATGGTTCATTTACACAGTCGGCAAAAAAAAATCGTTCAGCTGTAACGCCCTTTCGGTACCCAGGTGTCACGCCACCCGAAGGAAGCGTGACAGCTGGGATACTGCCAGGTTGCCCAAGCCTAAACAGGGTAAGTTGGGATGTGTAGGTCGGGTTCAAACCACGAACCTTCCGATCAGTAAATTCGTGCTCTAATTACCGATACTTGTAGATCCGTGCGATCGATTCGTGGAAACTGCCGGTGTGCGAAACTATTGCCGGTCAAACGGGTACGACTGTTCTCACTGATGGCTTGGAGTCGTAGAGGTGAGCTAATCGTTCCAGAACTGGAACGTCGCGTCAAAGCGACGGAAACAGCTTGTTGTGGACTTTCCTGGAGAGGGTTTGTTATTTTTGGCAGCCAGGGGAGCTAGGTCACATAAGTTCACGCACATTCATTAGGTGGTGTCATTTTTTAGACAATGTGGTTCTACATGCCTGTCTCATTGTTTTTGTTCTCTTACAGTCAGACGAAGATCGGCCGTTGCCATTCTCAGAAACCTTCCTTCTAACCCCGATTGACAGCAGCCTTCTGGTCTGCAACTCTATGTTCCGACTCAACCTTCATCATTTCTAATCCAACAGCCGGCGAAATTAATAGTCTGCATCAATATTTTCTGGGTCGGTCTGCCAGGGGGCTTGTGCCTGTGTCTTCTGTTCCACTACTGTTATTTTCTGCCATCCGGCCCGATGCAGTTGAACGAATGAGGAATCAGTTCGTTTTGCCGTTTCCGCCTACGCCACTTTAACTACCCGGTTGAACTCTCCCCTATTATAGACACATTTTCTAAATGATCCGCCTCTCGTCCAGATATGCTTATTGTAGATGCCCGTGGGTTGCATTTTTACTAACGCTATTCACCAGTCAGTCTTACCTTCTTGTCTGCTTATTCTGTTGGGTAGAATCGAAACTGAGTAAAATCACCGTTTCGGGAAACCTCAAAACAATCGACAGCTTTATCGTTGGCTTAACTAGCAGTACCATTCGATGATGTAACACTAAGGCTGTATAGTAATTAGGATTATTCCTCTCGGAGTGAAGTACTGCTCAAATGTGTGCAGGTATTCGGCATCCCATTGACGTGCGGTGTTTATCGCCTTCCATGTATTCTTCTGGGAAGCTCTGAGTGCTTTTCCTTTCTATTCAGTTCCTAATGCACCATTCTTGTTCCTCGTAGCAGACTGAGTATGTCGCTAGATCTGCTTACTTCTTGCTGACCGCCCCTCTGCTTTAGGACTGAAGCTAAAGTATCGGCGTTCAAGTGATGTTGCGGTGGATGGGCTTAGAGGTCAGAATATCCAAAATGGGAATCGTGGTACTCTCTCTAAATCCATGGATGCAGCCAACATATGTTCACTCATTCCGAGAACGTTATACAACCTCAGTTGGTGACCGCCCAGAAACGACAGTAAGTGCAATGGAGTTATTTAAACGCTGTCTCCGTGTTGTACTTGAATAACATAGTAAGAGGACGAATTTCGAGATGCGAGCATTTCACTTCGTCAGCCGGAGACAAATAACTAACATAGTCGGGCTCATATAAACAGCATATCCAAAGGTCAGGACATCTATACATGATTTTCGGGAGTAGGGTTTCTTTATTTCCATAATCCTAAGCTTCAGGCCACTTTTTTGTGTGCGAATTGAGATGGACTGGTCGTACTGAGGTGCGACCACTCTAGCTGGAGACCGGGCAATTTACTTTGTTGATTTTCGTGTGAAATCTCTGAATGGATCGTAGGAGCAAATCGACTTCAATTTTATTTTATTCAATGGTGCTCTAAACACCAGTTCAGAACGGGAACCTTCGACCTCGCTTCATCGACATTTTTTGAAAATTTGTACCTATTGTGTGGCACAACTTCCATTGAGACTGGGTAAGGTTTTCATTTCATCTTTTCAATAGTACTGCGGGCAAGATCTCCAAAATTGTTGTCCCATTGGTAGACCACGAAAAGTGTTATCAATTTTTTTGCGCTCCAGTGGGTTCATCCTGATGCTCATCTGAGGAATTGATCAAAGACTGATATTTTGCCTCGTAACCTCTTTTTCGCTAAAGCATTAGCTAATCTGAATAGAAAGTTTTTGAGCGTTCATTTAACTGATTTTTGTCCCTAAGAACGAAATCTCGCCAAAGAGAACATTCGCTCAGTATGGGTGAAACTGATTCCTTTAGTCCTTTTTGTAGACCAGCAGTGTAGCAATCATGCACTGCAAGTTCTTCACTTGCCTTCGTCAGCCTCACTGTATTAACTTCCTTTTTTCGCGTTTTCCGCTGGCGAAATCAGATACCTTCGGATTAGAATAGCAGGTAGTGTATAGTCTAGTGGCCTTAGTAAGCTGTTTAGGAAAAACTACGAAGTTTAACAGCTCCAAAAGACCGCTCGATAGGACATACACGTGTTCCTGAGATCGGTTGGTCGCCACCGGATATGGACTGAGACGCAGCCCTCTTACAAATATCAGTACCAGTTTTCCATGTGATGAGAAGGCGCGAACCAGTTTTTTGTTTATAGAGGATAGGCATCTGATACACCCAAGGCTGGAACCTCAATGCCAAGTTATAGTTTTTATTTGTTAACCTGTCTCGTCCCGTAGACGAGCCAACCCACATCTAGTTGTTTTTATATGGTACCAATAGAGTAGTACTTTGCCTCGCGTTCTGTTGTTAGCCACCTAATGTGGCCATCCTTTGGCGATGTTCTAACCCTTAGATATGAGTTGTCGCAGTTTGTGTCCAGGATAAATATTAAAATGATGAACTGTGTCCTGTGAAGTTCAATAAAAGTGCTGGAAAGTTCGGAAACACTCCACGTTTGTTTCACCTTTACGAATATTCCACAGGATCATGCGGAATGATGGCGGAAGGATTTTTACTCCAAACCTGTGAATGCGAATAAACATTGGATCTTTGGTTACTAGTCGATTATCGGAAATCGCTTAACTTGAACCTTCACAAAACGTAAGGCGATTCACCATGATCGCGTGTTCATTCATGAATAACGAGTTTCTACTTGATGGCTCAGTTCACCTCGATACAGTGGTCAACGTTTTTTTTTATCTGCCGCCTAATCAAACTCACTACATATGCACTTTCATGAAATCTGTTTTTGACCTCGATATCAGCTGTTGTTCGGTTAGTCCTCTCTTTGCTCAATGCCTCAACTGGGCGAAACATTGATGAGGCGATACTGGATGACACCGACTTTGAATGTGCATGTTACACAGTCGAGGAACGTTAGTGTTCATGAGGTATACTTCATCACCTTGCTAAGCTTGATGTGAGTATTCTAATCGAGGTACTCGTGTAATCTGTAGACCTTATTACGTTTGATCACAACAAAAGTGTCGCCGAAATAGCGCCAAAAACTGTCGGCAGGCGATAATGTCCAGTCAGGGCTGTTTATTTGGAATCCTCTACATGAATATTAGCTAAGACAAAGGATATTTGAGTTCACACTGTTGCAGGTAAACGTCTACTTCAAAACAAAATGGGCAAACTTCATGCACACTATGTTCTCAAATATTTCATTCGCCGAGAGCTCTTCCCGTTCTTAAAGTGTCATCTACCGATAGTAACCTCTTGGTTCCTTCCAAAACATCCTCCCTGGGGGTGTCTGTATATACTCATGTGACATAAAAACTCACAATAACTTCTGTGTCCAAAGGAAATCCTTACTTTATTGGCAAATTGGCCCGAATTCCTCATCTACGTGCCTGATTTTTCAGTGGCACTACGTATGAAGCGGGAACTGCTGATTTTATTCGAACAATGATATACATAACCAGAATTAGAGTAGCGTTCCAAAGGGAAAGAGCATTGCACTCAGTATTGATGGTCGAAAAGAATAGGGAATGTGTGCATAGAATTAAATGTGGCAACTGCCTGAAGGTCTTGTAATATGGTCTACATGATACAAACAGCCACGAAACTGCCTACCAGGGTTGCTGAACACAAGAGAAGGACAAGCAAGCCACTGAGGAACACATACGAGCACGAGGCGCTGGAGTCACATCGGATCCGTGTTTTATATGCTGTCATGCATGGTGCATTCCAGTACACACTGTATGCATTTTACCTAGTTCCTTTTTGTTGCACCACCGGGCTGATGATCCCTTGTGACTGCATGTTCTGTTTGTGACCGTTCACTCGTATCACTCTGGTCGGAAGTCTCTGGGCAGTGCCATTATGACTGTTTGTCACTAGTTTGTTTGACTTCTGACTGATAAAACGTTAGGTTACTATGGATGTTGGGCGTACGGATTTCAGATTGTACAGGAATGTAACAGAAACTCTCCCATTTTTGACATATGCCCGTAACAGCCAGCATGGCTACTTGGTATTGTTTTTTTTGCTTAGGATCACTTATTGAAGTCCCATATTTATGTTCACGAGAGATCTAGTTACCAACAAGCCGTCTACCAAAATGGCACACACACCAGAACTGAGGTCCCTGATATTGACAATCTTCTGCAGATCAACAGTACCTATTAGGTCCCTTCAATACATGCCAACTTACTTAACGCCGGTCTGAGACTGGCAAGTTGACTGGATAGCGTTCTTAAAACTTGCTGAAGTGAGACAGATGATTCACCTTGTGTTCGAAGTCGGGAAAGGACCGCCACTGAGTCCCTTTAGAAATGACTTACCCGAGGTTGGGTCAGAAGAGTGTGGAGCCTACTCGTAAGGTTGCTGAAGATTCGTCGACAGCAACCTTATGAGTAGTGCATTACGAATATGCATGTATCGCGTTATCGCATATCGTAGCGACTGAAATATGAGGCGACCTGGTGCAGCACATTCAGTGGCCTGGAAACATCACGAACGAGAGATTCAGCTGGGTTCTAGGTGAGTCTCTCACAAAACCAAATTGGTTTGCAAATGAGTGTATTTTGCTAACCGGAGCAATTGCATTATAGGGCCCAAGGATCTCACAAGGAAAATCTGTCAGTGACGGCACCTGTGTCGTGTTGCTTGGATGATCTTTTTTGACGAAGTGTACCTTCCCGCACGGTGTTGGCTGAGGAAAATGATACACAATACACGAAGACTGTGTAATCTTATGCGAGACTTGTAACTGGTTTCACCTGGTAATCTGGTGTACATCAGTCCCTCTCCTCATTTTTAGACCACTTCATTGCAGATCCGTGATATTTAGTTTAAAACTGCTATGTTCTGCAGCACGAAACCCTACTTTCCAACGCAAACCACCTTAGTTGTCCCAGTGGTGTAAATTCTTCCCACAAAGAGCAGAGTAAAACTGCTTACGCGTTGAGCTTCAATGTTGCGTAGCTGACCAGCAACGTGAAGTTAAAAGAGGCCCTTTAACATGATTTAAACCGGATATTAGGAAACTGTCCTTAATCACCCCTCGCTTTAGAGACCCGCCAGGTCCCTGAGATGAGACCTCTTGTCACCGAATCTTTGTGGTTTCTTCCAATGATTAAGTGGCTCCCAAAGCAGATCACCGAACGAAATAGGGAACTACCTTATTACACATTCTTGCTTTGAGGAAGACACTCGAAAAACTCTACCAGAAGTGGTTTCTTTTTCAGCTTAGCACCCTTTCGGTGCCTAACTGCCATGCCACCCGAAAGTTGCACGAGGGCTGGAAAACTGCCAGGTTGCCCAAGCCTAGACAGGGGAAGTCGAGAGACGGGTCGAGCTCGAATCACGGACCTTCCGGTCAGTAAATTCGCGCTCCAACTACTTTGGCCATCTTGCGCCTAGAAGTGATTTCCTAAAGGTCATGCTGTTAAGACGGACACAACAGTATATTCGTCCCTGTTGACAGGTTGTTTCAAAGGCCATAGAGAAATGTTCTGTTGTTGATTTGTTCTATAAAGCGAGACTGAATGAAAATTGCGTCTTCCGGGTGGTCTGTCCAGGTTATAACTGGTTTATAACTGGAATATACTCTGCATAGAAACCTGAAAAATGTGATGTTGAATACAAACAAGATTAGCGCATTTCCTGGATTCCACTCCGACACTTCTGATTTTTCTGAATTTGATGCAGTGCGCGATGCATGTGAAAGTTCCTTCCAAGTTCGTAAAGCCTGTCTCTCTAAAAGAAACAGCCAGTAACCTTTCAGGCCTTAACGGCAAAAGCCCACAAATAAGCAAATGTGTGACTGATAAAGTGTGACGCTGTAGGAATATGTTAATCACGTATATGGTTTCTTTGCCGCCTGGAGGCCAAACCTTTGACGACCGTGAGAGTAGTCTTTGGAGATTAACACAGGGATGCAAACTAGATTTCCGCTTGTTTACGCATTGTTCCCGTCGGTGTAATCGTGTCAAACATTTAAAATAATTGTACAGACTTGATAAAGCTTTTGACAACCCGGATACTGGAGTTGTTCCCTTCCGGAGAGAGCCTACATCAACGGCAAGCTGTCGCCTTCGAGATTTCTCTCAACCATTATGACCTTCAGAAGAGACCTCCAGATTCGAGTTGGTGTACAGTCAGCACCATATGCCCTAACCCAAGTGTTTTACCCGAATAGAGGAAATTTCCATTCTATAACATTTTTGAATTTATTCTTATTGGATGAAAACGACCACAACTTCGTCCATATGACTCGTTTTATAGCACTGTGAACGGGTCAGGATTGTGTCGTAGACCGGTTTTCTTTCAGAGCGTGCGCTAGTCTCAGTCTGTAGTGGCACAGTAACCTTCAACATAAGCATGCAGATGATTCTAACCTCTGGTGTTCTTGAAGATAAAAATGACTACAACGGGGCCACAGGCGAGGTTACTGTTCCCAGTATCGCTTCCTGAATCTCATGCACAGTTCCGTTTCTGGAATGGACAGTACCTAGATTCTACACGTTTCTGTCATGTGTGGCACAAACTTGTTCTTGTCCAGATTTTATTCTGTATAGCGAGACCGTTTTTCATTTCAAGTTGGGTTGTTGCGGTGGCTATATTGCTAAAATAAATGTATTTCGTTCAAGCAACCATCCTGACCATTTCAGTGGAAGAAACATCTGAGAACGAGAGATGATCATACACAGACCACATGAGTTGTGGATGGCTGCTGGATTTTGTAGAATGCGATCCCATCACTCTCGCTTGAACAGCAGTTCTCCTTTCCTGGCGCACTCATTCTGGAGGACCTAGACCAAAGGGGCGGAGTTGCAATGGACTCGAGTTTCACTCTCATTAGAACTCATCAGCCATGCATACCCTTGACCCTGCCGCGGTTTGAACTCCGCCTGACGTACAAGGCGGGCGTGTTACCACTATTCCACCAGCGCACTCTGGACGCATCTGAATTTTCACTTTCCGAGCAGGCGAATATGCTCACGCCTAAGTGATGTGGAATGTAAGCCCGACGCCTCAAATGATGATCTAGTAACATACTTTGGTTGTGTCAAATCACATTACTAAAGAGTTCTACCCGTTTAGTGATTTCTCACATTAGTGGTTAAGCTTTCAATCACTTTAGGCAAGCTCTGCGCTGAACGTTAAGGCGCGTGCAAGGGCTATGCTATTGGTGAACTCCCATGTCATTTTTATCAAGCGAACATTGTATTTGTCGTTTACCCGCATTTTCGGGAATATTTGCACCGGTAGAGCTTATTGACGACAAGAAACGCGAGGATAAAGGTCCAAGTTGTTTGGCACACAACTAGCTGGTCCTGATATAGCGTGGAGCGAGTCGAAAAGCAAGTCACTGGCCACCAGACACCTAGTCTAGACAGAAGGTAGGGTTGAACTTTGATCTTATTCCCGGGTCATAGCATGAAATGGCCGTCCCCGCGGAGTGAAGTTACTTCAGACAATATTGATTAATCGATTGGGGCCTGTATGCTGAGAAGGGGCGTTACTATGAGGCCACCTTGATTCCATCGATCGGCCACATGACGTTTTAGTTCCACATGAACGATGCAACTAGCTCTGTACTTCCTTTCATTTTAGTTCCATTTACAGATGTTAAAACAGAAGAGGTTGTACGAAACCAATTAGTCCCACGACTGCTGTTCTCGCTGCTTTGTTCAAAGAATCACAGTGTTCAGAGAATCACAATGCCTTAACTCTTGTTTTTCTGAAGTGTGCGCACTTACTCCTACGGATAGTCCTCATCCTAGCCAATCCGACTTCCGTGTAACGAAAGTACTAGTCGAATGGGAGACATTTTAAAACGTATAAATTCGTAATTCCCCATGCAA